TGTGTGTGTGTGTGTGTGTGTGTGTGTGTAAGGCACTATTTTCTTATGTAAAAGAATTATAAAAGCTATTTGCGTGTCTAGTGTAAAAAATATAAAAACAGGGTTCTTTTATATTAAATACCACTGCTGGTACTATTTTGTACTGTTTTTTTACTTGTATATAATTTAGCTTTATATTTGTAAATACCTGTAAAAGTAACCTAAATGTATTCTGTGTATATATTGATACTACTTCACCTATCAAAATAATTATTAAATGAATATCCATTATAAGTATGCCATTTTATAACATGTCTCACCTTTACAATAAAAAAATCTGTTTGAAAATCTGATCAAAATTGACCAAGTTATGGTTATTTAAACAGTAAATACATCACACACATTCATGTTGAGTGGGCGAGCTCCCCGACCAAAGATGGCCGCCATGTGAGGACGATGGAGACTTCGCGCTGACTTATCTAGCCATATATATATATATATATGTATGTGTGTGTGTGTGTGTGTGCGTAAACCCCTCTTTTCAAGAGGCAGCCTCAAAACAAGATCTGTAACACACCTCAGAAAAGGGTGAACGAGGGGCTTGTGGAGTTACAAGGAGGAATTTAGACCAAATGTTTTAGTTACGTTATATAGACCCCAACTGAAAGATTTACACGTGAAAAAGGATTTAAAGCACAACAAGTCTGCTTTAACAGACAAAGCTAAGATTAAATTTCAAGCAATTATCTTTTGAAGGTGTGAYTGATGTCCACGTCAGTGTTAAATACTGCAACATCCAGTAAACTGTTGTAATGAATCCCAACGTGTGTATACAGTAAATGTCAAAACGTCCAGAAAGTGCCGACGAGAGCTTCATCCGAGCTTCTTCAAAAGATCCACGGCTTCTTTATGAACCTGCAGAGAGACGAAACCTTTGTCGGTTCACACACACACAAATGAAAGGGGGTGAAATCCAAACGTTTCCTACCTCTTTGTCCTCCAGTGTGCGAGCRGGATAATCTTTAGCTTTGTTCAGCCAGAGATGAGCTTTCTGCTGGTCGTTCATTGCCAGGTACGTCTTTCCAAGCATGAGCAAGTTCTTACTGTAGAAGTTGGGATCCACTGGGAAATATGGAGGAGGGGCATGTCTTAGTTTAATGTTTTCTTTATTTTGAATTATAACCAGCATTGGTTTTTGACAGAATCAGAAAGTCCAACAGGAACTGTAAGTAACAGTTTTGGTAAATTCACAAGTGCATTCCCGTTCTACCTTGTTCAGCTTTCAGGAAGAACTCCAAAGCCTGGGGGAAAAAAAGCAAACAAAACTTGAACTTTTTCCTAAACAAATGAGATGTTTCAACCATGAGAAGGGAACAGAGTGTTCCTTACCTCTTCGTAGGTGGACGTAGGCGGAGACGAGAAAAGAACAGACGCCACTTTGCGCTGATACCAAGGCAGCTCTGCAAAYGCAAAGCACCTGAACGGAAACGATTTTTCATTTTAAAGAGCTTCAAGTGGACATTGTAGTGATCTATAGCATATTAGGTTCTATAGTATCGTTTTTTTTGGGGACCCCCAAGATACCTCTCGYGGACGCATGGGGAACAATGAACTAATAACACAAATATGATMAACTAAATACAAAAATATATATTCCCATGGCATTTAGGGGTTGAAATGACTGAAYGATCTTTTAAAACAGCATGGGGTTTAAGAGGTGGTCCCTTGTAAAGGGTCCCCAGACCCAAAAAGTTTGAGAACCCCTGATCTATAGGGTGACTCACCAGTAGCCTAAGATGTGTAAGGATGTGGCGTCTTTGGGATTGAGCTCAAGAGCTCGCTAAAAAAAAACAATCAGCAGATCTTACATCAGAACATTATTATTA